TATCTTCCCCCAACTCCTAAGCTTTGCTGTAATTACATTATAGAGATACGTTTTCCCTGTACCTCCGTGACCATATAGGAAGAAAGCACGACCCATCTTGTTGTGCACTGAGTTGATGACTGCTGAATAGACATTGGTTTGCTCAAAATTCAGAGACTTCAACATAGAGGTGGCTAATGCATGTTGCTGGTCCGTATCAAAAGCTAGATGCTCGTTTATGAGTGGGTTCTTGCCATTATCACATGGACCATCGGATGGGAGTGGAAGATTAAAGTCCTCAAGAGTCATTGAGTGTGAGCTCAACATAGCCTGTAGTTGATGTAGAACCCAGTTATGTAATCGTTCGTCGCTAGGCCTCAATAGTTCGATCCCTGAGATCCTTGACTGAACTATATGCATAATCTTCAGACATAGATTTCCAAGAAGAATTGAACAATGTGATCGGGCTAGGTATTTCACAGAATATAAGCATTGACACGAAAGTGCTTCGAATCACCCTTGGCATGCTAGAAGATGATATATCATTTAGCACTCGTATCCACTCTGAAGAGTCTGATAAAAGGCTCAATTTTCCACAAGATTTTTCAAAATCTGAACAAAGTTCTCCATCGACAGTTCTCAGATGAGCATAACTGATAGCGCCGCGAACTTTCGTGAGTAGCATTCGGAGGGAAAAAACGTCGCCAGAACCTGGCGGAACATATGCAATTCTGCCTATAGCAAATCCTTTTTTGCGGGGACTCCACTCTTTACAGTCAGGTAGCCAAGTGTAATTGTTTGGTGTCTGTGCATATGTAAGAGTTCTTGGTTGAGGATCCCTTCGATTAAGCGCAAACCATTCTGTTAAGTGCGTCTTACCGGCGTATGGATTCCCCAAAATATTCCGAACATTGTACTGCTTCTTATAAGGTATTTTTTGCTGGCCGTCCAAATGAACTCCCAAACGTACTACTGCTGGTTCTCTTACATGTATTGGATATTCATTCAGCCTCCATATAGCTTCATAAGATGACAACGATCGGCAGTCAATGAATTGTTGAATTTCATCTCTCTGTCTCACAGGCTGGACTTCTGCATTGCTCTGGGCTACATCAGCATTTTCAGCAATCACTAATGACCTGTCCGGCCCTTTCGTCACATATTTGAAAAGATATTTAATAAGTTTTCCTTTATGACATACCTCAACATTGATATGAGCCTGCATCCTCACTAACAAATTTCTGTTGTATGGAACAACATGTCGATTGTCGAGGACTGAACTTCCCTTTTGAACCTTTATGCCAGAGTTAGATCTTCTGTAGATGACATTTCCGAACTTGTCAAATGACGTTGCTGAATTAAACTCTTTTGGGAATTGTTTCGAACATCTTCCGTTTGAGGGCCGTTTATTGTCTCGCATGCACGGTGCATTTGTGTTTGCTTCTCCACATGGACCATGTAACATATATTTGCAAATAGCCTCATATCCAACTGGATCTTCTTGGGGGTCAGGAAGTTCGGCTGAGATGACTTCATCAATATCATCTGCTGTCCTTAGTTTATTCTCTTCAGCCAACCAAACCAGCAAGGGTATGTGAGGCAAACCTTTTTTTTGAAACTCCACTGTATACATTACTGGTGCAAAGCAAAACTTGTTAGAAAGGGAGGTATCCAAATATGCGCATTGAAAAGTAATTGATTGCTTATACTGACCAAATTATATTAAATGATCATACTGCTCTTACTTGCGATTGTCTTCCCAAAGTAGGAGTTTTTCTTAATGTCGTCGATGAGAATGCTCAGCTTTATGTGGAAAACCCTTGAAACCACCATTGGTTTGTCCGAACAATTCGGGCCAACAATGTCACGAAAAGCTTCTGTTATTTCTTCCCACAATGAATTACACGTAAATGTAATAAATAGATCTGGATTTCCATAGAACTCGACCACCGCCATTGCATCGTGATATAATTGTTGCATATATCGTGGGCTGCCTATATAAGTCCCAGGGAGCACTAAATGACCCACTTTATCCCCATCAAGATCACCTCGCGCCATTGCATCTTGCAAGCCTTGATAAACCTCAGCTCTAAGTTGTGGCTGATGGTAGCGCAAAAAAGCTAGCCTATTTAACTCTATCGATGAATAGGCGTCTATGCAAAAGTGCTGAAGAGCTTTTCCATCCTGAACAATTGTATGGCCTTCGTTGATGCAATATTGTAGCCTAAATGTATAATACTCACGCTAAGTAACAAACTGTCGACGCATAGAAGGAGGACAGTAAGCTGACCTGTACTTGATAAGTGGATGATAGCCATCCTCTCCATATGGAAATAAGAGCGGGAAATGTAATGCATCAAATTTTGGATTGAGACTTGTAATTCTCTTCAAACCCTCATATATGTGATCAACAATAATATCTCGATCCTCTCTGTCCGGAATAAAATCACTCGGTATAAGTGTCATGATTTCAGTGCTGCTGGGCAAGTCATACTGTCGATTTCTACTCTTAGCACCAAAAATTCGAAGCTTTAAACTTGTTGTTGTAGAATCTTGCAGCTGCTGCCGAACCCGCCTGAATGTTTTGACAAGTTCATTATGCTGATCTAACATTTGAAGCAATAAAGTGAGCAATTCTGGCATAAGTAGACCATCACGGGAAGCAAAGTTCGCCAACCGGTTGTCAATTTCATTCTCAGGCTCGAAAATATAGAGCTGAGAAAACTTTGGTTTTTCACCATCAGGAGGCAGCAATGAACCAATTCTATGATAATTTTCTCCACATATAACCATTGAATAGGGCCCCCTTCCAGAGAGAGAGCGAGGGTCGATAGAAGCGCCAAACGATGTGAAGCACAATGAACCATTGTACGGTCTAATGTTATCCGTGAAATGCTTCGACATAGCGCCACCATCAAACCGCAGAAGCTCAGCCAACAAAAGTGGAGGTTGTGCTATAAGCGGCAAACCAACACGACCTTTTTGACAACATAATCCATAGATTGGATCAGTTGTTGCTCGACGCCGATCAAGTCTTTCCATATCCTAAAACAAAGCACCACAGTATTTACATACACATTCTAGCTAACCGATTCTGAGAATATCATTGTGTAGTGGCTTCCTAGCTGTGGGAATATGCCTACTACAGGATGGAACCTCATTTGACCGCCGCCGACTTGAACGATCAGTTTTTCGACGGTTAGCCTTTGTTACTCGACCGCTGTTTTCGTTACATTCAGCCTCTACATCAGGGCTCCCCTGTACCTGATAAAAAATGGGTCGAGTTATATCTTTGGATCCTAATTGCTTCATGGTTTGATAGCACGATTTCCTTGGCCGTGATGAACCTGATATATGCACAGCAAACATAGAGTAAGCAACAATAAGCGCTCGATATGGACGGAAATTATCAACGCATAATATGATCATGAGTATTCTATACTTCAAACAGCAGATATAGCATAATATTGAACTCATCACCTGCTGGTGACGACGAAACTTAATGAAGATTCTGCAATGACCCCTGTATGTTGTTCTGAATCTCGGTAGCTGTATCCCCAAACATAGATGAAGAAGTTATAAGATCCTCCGATGTCTGCTTGGGAATTTCAACTCTAGGTGTCTTACGTGTCAAAGTGTGATATTGAGATTTTCTTATTCTCGGACGCATTGCTGCACAGCGAAAACACAAAATGGGAAAAGATCAACACCATTTACTGCCGAGATGATTCATTAATCGGCTCCAGACAAATAGAAACCGATTCGGATATATTGAATGAGGAAGTGATGAAAAAGAATAACATTAACTGCACTTACATACTCAAAAGACTCATTGATAACAAATAGAAATGAGAAGTAACTCTACCTTCAACAATCAGGAAAGTGATGGTTGTATAGATGAGTATCCAAATTCGTTGGGCAAGCAAAAAATACAAATGAGCAAATCTTAGATGAAGAATGAGAGTGGAATGAGAGATGTTTCTGAAGAAGTTAACATAACCCAAATGAGGATAAAAACCAATATTAAAATGTGCCATCATGGATATCTGAGCTATGCATAAGTATCTATCTATATTAAAATGTGTTATTATGGGAATGTGAGACATGCATTAGTATATTACTTACTAACTCCCAAAATATCTAACCTTATACTTGATTAATAAATTGAAAAAAAGCAATCATTTTAGTTTTGTCTTTGTGTAGAAAGAGGCCGCACCATGTTAAGAACATACATACTCATCGCAGATTGCCATAAGCGTTTTTCCTTTTCGGAACACGTGAGCCCAATTAGAATGCATGTACTATATTGACGAATTAAAAAGTACATTCCTATCCAACTACACGATAATTATACATGTTCAAACGTGCGTTTTTATGTCGGTGGTTTTCACGCAATGTTGAATATACTCCGACGATCGTGGTAACTAAATTTGTAGAGGTAAATTTCAGAATAAAACATAGGTTTGTTGGGCTTTAAGAGGAAGAATCAGCGAAAGATTAGTAGAACTGGAACACGACAACGCTAAGAATTCGCATTCACCGAAGCTGGAAATTGAAATTGCCTATGCATCCAACTATAAGCAGAACTAACATTATATATATATAGCACCCGGTAAGATCAAACAACATGGCATCAAATTGCAGTGAGCAACCACGCAAAAGTTGTACAATACAACATAAAACAAAATCATAGAGGGAATACATCCTCTGATAACATCCACATAGATACAACCAATATATATCCGAAACCAAAAGGGCCAAACCACGGTCGTTCAAACCAAGAGAACAACTTGCAAAACAAAGATCAACATCTCCTTCTAATACAAAACAGCAACGACTACAGGGACATCATCAAACATAGAACAGTTCGTGCAACAAACAAAATAGAAAATGAGAAACATCGCACGCACAAAAAATAACTTGCAACGAAAATACTACGGACAGACCGAGGAGTAACCTTCAACCCATGATCACTTCTTAAACAAAGCACGCTTTGCCGCCGAATTCTTCTGACTATCCACTCAAGAATCCCTTTCCATACTAACACCTGCCTGCGAGGAACCACCATGTGGGACTTGAGCAACATCGGCAACATCCAATTTTTCCACTTTTATCCTGGCGAGTGGAGAGACCAACCTTCAACCAAATAGAGTTCCTACTTGTTAGAACCGCGGAAACAACACATCTATAAGACAGTGGAGAACTGATAGTGTACAATACAAAAACTTACAGCGATGCCGAAGGCGAGTTGGCGGTTGAACCTAAGGGCTTCCCAGGAGATGATTCCGGGGATGGCTTCAGAATCTTCGAAGCAGGCATAGATGAATCACGACCAACATCTTGAGGACTCACTGACTCATCAATCCTGACTGATCGCTTGGGGACCATCGAAGTAGCAGACTGGACAAATGGACCACTGGATTGGACTGTAGAAGACGCGGTCACAGTCGCAGTAGGCAGGATGGACCCCACATGTACACCCATCACTGAAAGCTGAGAATCTCCGAGAATCCGCGACCCAGCATCAATATCCTCGCTTCCGACACTAGCAGGAATAGGATCCCGCAAAATTCTGGTCGCAGGGCTGGGAAATCTACAAACCATATAATAACCAATTCAGACAACATCCCTAAACAAAATCACAAATAAACAAAATAAGCTTCTCAATCAGATCTTGTTGGTCAGCGATGTTAAATGGCACAGCTGGAGCTTCAATGGGGATAGAATCTGAAAATTTTTCCTTTCCCTTCGCAGCCTTGAGAATAGATAACAAAAATAACTCACTTTAATCATGATAGATAAACCAACGAAAGTCATACAGAAAACATAGCAAACAACACCAACCTCGATGAACCTGATGGGCCTCCCACGCTACTCACCGCACCCAGAGAGGGAGAGGGCGACGGACGAGGCGAAGAAAACTCAAGCAAATCACCCACCACCGTAGGATCATCAAGAGGGATGACCTGGGTAACACGGAATTCACCCGAAGAGAAACCAGTAGGACCCGACAACGACAACCTACAATCAAACTTGACATATTGCCCTCGCAATTGATGCAACTGTGGGGGCAGCTGACCAAGACGATGGGGGAACCTTTGGGCTAGGTGTGCAGCAGAAACGTTGACCAGCGCAAGCGCGCACTCCCCCCCCCCCCCCCCCCCCCCCCCCCCTCCCCATCAGTATAAAGCGAGCTTCACAAGAGTCGTCCCTCAGTGTAAGCAAGAGCTTGTAGCTGAAGGAATAAAGAACATCAGCAGCAAAACTTATAACAGACAACAAAGATGCAAAAAAAAAATATATATATACAATCATACTTGACCCGGGTCTGGTCCTCATCCAACTGCCAATCCTTTGGGCACCAAAACGAATCATCACGACGCTTCGAAACAGCTCTTGAACATAACTTGCATGAAATATAATACCAAGGTGTGCTTGACTCGACATCAACAATCACTCCACCACAACGATATTTTTCTTCCTAAAAAAGAAAAGAAGGCACGCCACTTGCAAACACGGGAAAAACAAAAGCAGCAAACTTTTTGAGAGAAATAAGCAGAACCAGCGAGGAATTTGTCCTAGATAAGGCCAACAACTGCCCCAAAGTCTTGGTGCGACGATCAGCATCAGTTGTAGCATCAGCAGCAGTAGCAAACTCAACTGGCAAGGATGCAACAGTCTCATGTTTCTCAGCAAACCTGGTAGCGATCCAAGCACCATGAATACAACAACATAGAGTTCTTAATACACAACACATTACACAAACATGAAACGCTAAAGAGGCCACAGGCCGCAATTAGCTTACCTAGATGCAAGATAATAAGCCTTAGGTACTGAAGGGTTGACTTCTATGCGAGTAGCGGCTGAACTCGACAGGACATAATCATCTAAAAAGAAGCACAAAAGAGAGGGAAAAACCAAAACACGTTAATGAGCCTCACATAATATCGGGAAAAGATGCATGCAATAAGGAAACCACAACATACCCCCCAGCTTATTAACCAGCAAGCCGCCAAATGCCAATATCACAGCTTCAATCGAGTCAGCCTGAGTGAGAGCAACATGATCCAACACCGCTGAAAACTCATCCCAGAGGGTAATCGAGATCTTCGATCCACTGGGGAAGAATATAGGGACACGTAAGAAAAGCAAAGAACAAACACGACACATGCAACGAAACTCAGAAACCCATGAAAGGCGCATAATACCTTTCATCCTCAATAATAACCGTTTGCTTGACAGCCGAGCCGTTATTTGTGATCTTGTGCAATATCCCACTGATCAAATGGAGCCGGCCAACAACATCTACGAATAAAGCCACACAGAGGCTAAATCTTAGTAAACAAACAAAACACATATAAGCAAACTTAACCTAAGAAACTAAACCCACTAACCTGTCAAGTAACGATGATTACCGGCACGAACACCCAACAGGGAGAAAACCACAAACTCGTAAGCATCAACCGGGAAACTCTCAGCAGGAAGAGCACAGGGCAAGAAAGAAGTCAAAGGCGAAAGGCCCAAAGCCAAATCAATAGAACACGACCGATACTGATTCGACGGATTGCTCAGGGCAAAGAACTTTATGACGTATATCATCCCAACCGAGAGATTACGACGAATCCCAACAGCCATTGAAGTTGGCGAAACGTCCTGAATCAGCATACCCTTCGCAAAGCATACCATTCCGACTCGTGAACAAAACAAAAAAGCGAGAACAAACCAGAGCACAGAAGAGAAAGCTAGAAGCGTAAAAAACTAACCGTTTCGTCGGTCCATAGAGTACAGTAATTGTAGATCCTGTTGTCTCCCGGAGACTTCGACGGCCACACATGCAGCAAACGGAGGCGCAAAGAAATCCCGGCATTGCGCGGACCTCAGCGTTTACAAAGCAATGTGAATTCCATTTTTTGAGAGACGGAGAGAACCAAAGAGGGTGGGGACCTTTTTTTTTAGAAACAGACCAGAATGAAAGAAAAGAAGTTTCGGCGCCACAGAAGAGTATAAAAAAGAGGGATGGGAAAAGCAGTTTCAAGGGCGGTGCATGTCAGTTTCTGGTCCAATAACGGGAGAAAACGTAAGGCAGGGCAAACAACACCCTCGCAAAGAGATAAGCACGTAGTAAAATAAAAAACCGCCAGGGATAGGAAGTAGGCGCCGAAGCGTCGGGTGTCAGATACCAGGCCAAACGGAAAGAGGAACGCACTCCCCGAGGCTCAAATGCATGAGACTGAGCAGAAGGAAAAAGCGGCCATCATTGGCCGGAATTCAGAAAAGCAAGAACAAATATACACGACAAGAAAGAAAAGCAATGAAAGACGTACAGAATGACCGGTGTAATCATTATAAGAAGGTATAATTCTCAGTGGGATTGCTCGAAGGAAGTAGAAAGCGAAGAGAGAATGAACGTGCAGCTGAGGGCAACGCGGCACACACAGCAACAACGGCGGGACCCAGACGCAGAGAACCAACCAATAAGCAAAGGAGGCTGGATCCAATCGCAGAGGATGAACCAATGGGATGAGAGTGAACAGTAATTTTGAGTTTAAATGAACAGGATTTTCGTGTCTAGGCGTACAGTAACTTGTCTTTGCAAATAACTTGTTCTAATAACATTAAATTTTTATTATATTCCAGTCTTACCCTTTTAGGCTAATTATTACTAATGTTTTTCTTTCCCCTTCTCCTATTGACTGGAGATGGTTTAAGATTTTCCTTAAGGATTAGGCCTTAAGGACCTGATCTAACCCGCCACTTTATCGCCTTCCCGGATAGGGTACCCCCAAACCCGAACCCGCCCCAACCTACTCAACAAGCCACCAGGTTTAAACCCGAACACGACTCAAACCCTATCAACACGGGCTTTACCTGTTTTGACCGGGTTAGGTCGGGTCGGGTACCCGCGGGTCCGGGTTTTATTGTCATCCCTAAATATAACTAACAATAGCAATGACAGAGACTAAATTACAACCTTACTCAACAACATCGTCACTAAAGAACAGAGCCAATATTTCCCCAAACCTTGTCTTAAATTTCCATGAGCCATGGAACTTGATATCAAAGAAAAAACAATCTTTAGAACCTGCTCATAATGTCAACATGTGTCCAAGAATGACGTGGTGGATTCCTTTTAGAACAAGTTCAGGAACAGGATGCACTCCTAGAAGGAAGGCTCTCAGACTCAATGATACGAATAAACCCTAAGCAATGTGAAAACTCAACGAAATCTACCGTGCAGAAAAATCCTTAATTCCATTCACGTAAGACAATTGAAGAGGTCTAACAACATTAAGCTCCACCAGCTCCCAATCTAAGAACTTGGCTTTAAGGCTTTAATCTCCAAATTGTCCCTCCTCCATTTTCCTCTCTTCCTTAGGAGACAGAGGATAAACTCTTTCTAAAGGAACCAAATATAGATGAGGAAACTAAAAATTAATAATTGCTATTCCCATGCGCATTTGTACCGGCCTCTCATTTCAATTCCTTTAATTAGGCGACTGAAAAGCCGAGACTGACTGTCCGGGTTGAACAATTTGGGCAGTTAATGGCTCATTACAAAAAAATTTAGTCTGTTCCGAGCCGGACTAGAGGCCGGGTCCCGGTTTTACCGATCCGACCGACCGACTCGACTTTCACAACACTTATCGCCAATTTTTGTGTTTGGTATAATTCCCACAATTGTGGAAATGAATTGTACTTTTAACAATTAATTAAGGTTGAGTCCATTGGAGCCTCTACAAATGGGGGAGTCTCTATATTTGGGAAAAAGTTGGCTCCAATGGAGTCTCTATAAATGGAGGAGTCTATATATTTGGGGCAGATCTGCAAATTTGGGGTGGAAATGAGGGTCCCCAAATATAGAGACTCACCAACACTCACCACGTGGCTTTTTTTTTATTTTTAAGATTTTAGGGGTTAATTGGGATTTAATTAGGGAATTAGTTAGGAGTTTAATTAGATCAATAATTTTCAAGTGTTGTGTGTAAACCCAAATTAGGTCCATTATTTTTCGCCAAAAAAATGCGGTCTCGAAATTTAACAAAATTCTATCGAAAATTTTATATTTATAAATGATGACGAACTATACAAAAATTAACATTAACAAATTATATTAAGGCTTCAATAAGTACATTTTTAAGTAAATGGAAAAACTGGAAAAATTAAGACCCCAAATACAGAGATTGAAGCATTGGAGCAAAAGAAGGGAAAATGGGGATCAATCCCCAAATTTGGGGTTTTGCATTGGACTTGACCTAATAATTTTGTATATATTTTTTACCTTGAGAAATGAGATATAAGTGAGAGAGAAAGAGATGAATATGATAGTGAAGTGATAAAATAACAATAAATGTGCATGGGTCTCACTAATTCCATCTCCATAAAGCCAATTCATATAACTTTTGATAGGAATACTAATTTTCATAATTTGAATCAAATGAAATTCATTTCCCAACCTTCTTCACTTTCCAAACATAGAATAAGAAAATATAATTGAAAATGGAATTTTAATTCCTGAGGTTTTTGTCCTTCTTATCTTATGATGAGCCCGTTATTAAACTAATGGCCCAGCTTTTTTATTAATCTAATGGTCTACTCGATTTTGTTTACTTGAATTCGTATAGATTATTTTATATGTATGTCAAGTATTAGTAGGTAAGGTTAGGAAACAATCTGGTCCGGTTAAAATTAGACCGAATTAACCCAAAATTTTTAAAACAGTTTTGACTAGTACCACAACCGAAGAAGGGATTGGATGGGTACCCGGTTAATTGTGACCACACTGGATGGAATTCAGTCTGATCCGGTATCAACCAAAATCTGGATGCATAATTTTCCTTTCAAAAACGCTACGTTTGGACCAAAATAAATTGAAAAAATATCTCTTTCCCAAAGTCCCACCCTCACAACTGGACAATTCCTAATCCCCCCACTTCCCTCTCCAATCTCTAGATAATCCACTTCTTCCCTCCTTCGATTCGTCTGCTCACTCTACCTTCTTGATTCTTCTTCTCCTTCTCTTTGCTATCAAAACCCAATCCAGCTGTTGACGCACGCAAGTCATCGCCTCCGTCGTTGTCCTCTTCCTCGCAATTCGACAAACAAAGTTTGGTTCTTGGCTACGATGTCAACTGGGATCTTGGCGGCGATGTCAGCAAGGGAAAGGTTCTTGGCAGCGATGTTAGCAGGGCGGCGGTCGTGCATGTCAACCTCAGGAGCAGTGTCGGCGCCTCGACGAAGTTCCAGAAGAGGGAGACCCGACTCGTTGACTAGGCTGATAAGTCGCCAAAGCCGAAGGGAGAGTTGTTGGATGCCGACGAGAGAATGAAGAAGAAGAGGATTTCGACGTGCTGCTCAAGGACAGAGATGCGACGGTTGACAAGTTTGAGAGAAGCTGGATAAGTGCTTGAGAGTTGGCGTTTAGGTTTTTGCAAGTCAGGCTGGGCTCTGGGCTTTGAGTGGGTGAGTTGAGGTCGGGCTGGGCTGGGCTTTGGGTGAGTGGGTAAGTTTTGGCTAGGCGCTTGGCTTTGGGCTTCAGGATAGGACAGGGTCCGGTTTTTGTTTTTTTTTTTTTTTTTGCGGTTTTAACCGGGTTATACTTGGTATGATTTTTCTCAATATATTGGCAACCGTAATCTAGATAAGACCGGGTTGCATTCAGTTTTCGGTTGCAACCAGGACGGTTTAAAGTGGTCAGTTTTTGGTTTGATCGGAAAATCGTGACAAGATTTCCAGCCCTGTTAGCAGGTCGTCTTATTTTGTATGAATTTAGGTATATCTAGGGGCAGGAAATTAGGATAGTAATTAGCAAATTTGTGTATGTTTAATGTAATTTGTTGTGTGTTGATGTTTTTAGTTGCTACGTTAATGAATCAATATAATAGCGAACAAAATTTTAATAATAGGTTGAAAAAAATTCCAAATCATCTACTTTTTATTTTTAATAGTGAACAAATTAGCAACAAAGCACAAATTTAATTAACAATTCATAAACAATAAAATTAATATCAACATATAATAAAATTATTTTACTATTATATATCTATTAAAATAATATATGCATCACATTTCACAATACACATTTTCCTTCCCACTTTCCTTCATAAAACGTAATTTTCCTTCTAATTTCTTTAATCTCCAAATTGTCCCTCCTCCATTTTCCTCTCTTCCTTCGGAAACAGAGGATAAACTCTTTCTAAAGGAACCAAATATAGAAGAGGAAACTAAAAATTAATAATTGCTATTCCCATGCGCATTTGTACCGGCCTCTCATTTCAATTCATTTAATTAGGCGACTGAAAAGCTGAGACTGACTGTTCGGGTGGAACAGTTTGGGCAGTTAATGGCTCATTACAAAAAAATTTAGTCGGGTTCCGAGCCGGACTAGAGGTCGGGTCCCCGTTTTACCGATCCGACCGAATCGACTTTCACAACACTGATATTATTGATGAACACTTGCTTATAAGGTTAATTAAACCCCTTACATTTCATATTAAGACTTGCATTTACTTTTTAAGCTTTGGAGGCCTACCATGCCTTTTCTTACACTGCACTACTTCTTTACCCTTTATTGCTTTCAACTTAGGAAAATCTTGTAAACTCCTCAAAGGAGAAATAGAAATGTCACCAAATTCAAATTGATCACTAGCTAAAGAACCAAATCTATTACCTTTAACAGACAAACACTAACCTCAACCATCTGATTTACTGGTGATTAAAACTCCACCTCGGTAGGAAGTGTAGGCCCTTGCCAAGCACAATTTGGTTCTAATGAAGCAACCAATGATGCCACAGTTTGCCTCATGCCACTGCACCTCACTTCTGATGGCATCTAAACATTATTAGGACCAGAAAACTTTGCACAGAAGGTATGCTCCCCTATTGTTGCAGATGCTTCACCGGGAAGAACAACATTTTTCAACTCTGCTCTAACACCCTCTTGTTACTCTACCTCTACCTGTACCTAATAGCTTCCTCTACCTTAATCTAATCCTAATTAGTCCTTTGTTACTCCATGCCATCCCTAACATCCCCAGTCCCCGAGTTTTCACCTTCGTCATAATGATGACCAAAACTATGACAATTTTGGCACATAGTAGGGAGATTCATATACTCAGTTTTGACAAAGAATGATGGTCTTCTGTTAGGGCAAACTTCAAAGATTCAGGAAACTTCCTTCATCTCAACACAAATTTTAGGATACCCTAGCTGACACGCTACGACACAAGACCAAACTGCGACAAAGTGTAATCGCAGAATGGAAATGCATAATAGTGGTAAGTTTACTTTATCAACCTGGGGTCTAGATCTACTGCCTACTCCGTGATTATCTATTATCTAGCGGGACTAAGTGTAGTGAGAGTGATTGTAAACAAAAGCAGTAAGAAAGCAGAAAATTGTCGAAGTTCTTAAGTAAGGGAAGAGTCACTCGGGAATGAGTCTCCCTAGCTCCTTAGTTAGGTCAAAGTTGTAATTTCCTTTTGGTTGATTTATAGTTGATTAAACTGCGGAAGATCCGACAGTAGCTTGGAATCTCTTAAGCTGACCAAGCCCTCTCAGACAGACTAACCGGCAGGCGACTAGCGTTCACCGGGATAGACTGCTGAGGCAAATAACACAGAACTCCACTACTAGAATTGGATTTCAGTACAAAGTAGTGAATCGACTAACTCTCGTACAATAAATTCACTAATATCGATTGAAGAAGCTCTAACAACCTAAAGTCGATCAGAAAAGTCGATCAGGCTTCAATTGACTCAATGAACCATGCATCAATCGATTATAATCAAAGAGTATATCAATCCAAAAGTCATTACAATCAAAATCCCTAACACACGGAACTAGGGTTCTTCATACCCAAGTGAGAGAGAGAGAGAGAGAGAAACAGAATACAAAGCAGTTATGCTCATAACAATGGGAAGAATCTGCTATGGAACGATAATCTTCACTCCAAGGATGAAATCCAAGATTGATTGATGAAACCAGCTCCAGAATCACTCATAGGGTTTGTTCTTCGCACTTTCTCTCTCTAGGACTCTATTTTTGCTCTGAAAGTTCGTCCCCCTCTTGAAAGACCCGAAATTGGGTTAAAGAAAATCACGACCACACGGCCGTGTAGAATCCAGCCTGCCCGTGTAACTCCCAAAATGCGGCGTTGCACTTAGTTGGTCGAAGGAAGTCACACGGCCGTGTAGAATTAAGCCTTGCCCGTGTAGACCCCCTGGACATTCCGTACGGCCAAAGTGTGCCCTTGCACACCAAGTACGGACCTGGCCACGTAAAAATCATATATACAACCACCCCGTACGGCCGTGTAGAATTGGCTCTTGCCCGCGCACGCCGCACGCCCAGGACTGCACGGCCACGTAGAATCCTCAGCTTTCCGTCAAACGTCCCAACTTTGGCCAATCAACCCCGAATTCGTGTCCAAACCTCCATCAATGTACTAGGACATGAAATAATACAAACAAGAACAACCTAGCGTGAAATCGTCCTAAAACACGAGAGACGAGGCTCACATAGTATAAGAATGGTGGACAAAAACATGTGTAAATATCGATTCATCACTAGCCTTCTTCCCAATCTAGTGGATTGATCTAGCCAAAGCTGTATAGCTAGCATACTTGCTAATCTGGTAAATACCTTTCCAGCTATGAGCGGACCCAAGGGCCTGTGTCCTAAATTTTGGAAAATCGATAAATTACTACCAGAGGTAGTAATTTATCTATGGACAAAAAATTATAATTAATAGTCCGGGACACCCTGATATTTAAAAAAATGATTATCCTACTCTCGTTTGTAATTTGTGTATGGGTATATAAGTGGTAGTTTGGGTAATTCAAACCCGGACACTACTATTATTAATCCATCTAATTTCCATGAGGCTACAACTTTTTTGTTGTTCTATTCTAAACACCGTGTAATAGAAAAACCCTATTCTCTATCTTTAATTATTTTCAAAACTTAACAATTAATCTAATTACAAGCTACCTTTAATTTGTATTGAGTTTATGGTTGTACGACATTTGTTGAAAGTCTCTTTTCTGCTTTGAATTACACCAAGAACAAATTTAGAAGTCGAATATGAGTTTGTTCGTGAATGATTGTCTAGTAGGATATTCTGAGACAAATTTGTTGAGCTGTGTAGACACCAAACGTATTTTACAATTTTTTCAGAATATGAATATACAACATGGACTTTTTTAACTTGTACGAGTTGAGTTGGTTATTTTCTTATTTAAGAATTATTTAGTTTTTATTAATTTTTAATTTAATTTTACTTTATTTCTTGAAAGATGACACCCCTATTTAAAATTTCTGGGTCTGCCACTGCTTCCAGTCACATATTTAGCCGGCAAATCATGAAGAGTCACCCACATAGGAATAGTAGATCTACGCTCAATAGTAGGGTAACCACGGGTAGGAATCCTAAAATATGAACTTATACACATATATGCACATACATATTGTTGTCCGTTAAAAATTGTATACTTGTAACTGTTCTAGCTACAACAATCCACATAAATAAAAACCGAAAACATACATAATAGTTGTTCTTGCTTCTACAATCCACACAAACAAAAACACAATACATGATATTTGTTCTAACTTCAATAATCAGGGGAAACAACCACACAACCACAGTGAGCACAACTGGACAAATCGTACAATAAATAACAAAATTGGACAATGGGATTATTAGAACTTACCAAAAGGGAGGGAGAGGCTTGTCGCCCGTGTGAGAGCTTGTCGGCGAGTCGCGAACGAGAGAGAAGAGCAGATCCCACGACTGACAGAGACACCGGCTTGTCACGAACGAGAGGGGAGCAGGGAAGAGCAGGTCGCACGACTGACGGAGATGTTGGCGAGTCACGATAGATTTTATGTTGCCTCTTAGGATTAGGGAGAAATCTACTATTTAGTTACCGGGGCGGGTATAACGGGGTGGGTATTAGCAATTAACATACATGTACCCTACCCGCATTTTTACAACTGAGTATTACCCTTACCCATACCCCGCCCTTAACCCGTCAAAGCGGGTAATTACCCACGTTGACCAGTTACGATCGGATAGTATACCGATAATTTCGGGTTGGATTGCCATTCTGCTCAATAGCCCTAATCCCTGAGTTCCATTTCCTTAAGAAGCACATATCATCATGAAAATGTCAAGGTCCACTTACGAAACCCAATTCGCCAAAGCCTCCGACGGAAACTGGAAGAGAACGAGATTCTCAACTAGCAAGAAAACCCTAATTCCGCCATTCTTGTCTCAAAGTCTATTGGCTCATACCAATTATAATCGTTTTCTCGATACATCTCTGATAAATAAATAAATAAAAAGCACAACTCACTTGTCTATAATAAATTGACATTTCTCATTAAGCTTATGTTTCACATCATTAAATATGGAAACCTTTTCCCTTACCCGCCGTATAACTATGAGGGTGGGGATCTCCTCATCATCATCATTGTCATTGTTGATGGGCTTCTTGTTGTGAAAAATGTATCTCCCATTTAACTTTGTGTGTTTCTTTTCTTTTTTGAAGAGAAATATATGAAAATGGAACGTCTGGCCATCCGAGTGAATGCACACATGTCAATTGCAATTCCCCCAATTGGTAAGTGACGACGACAGGACAGGAGAGAGATTTTTTTCTTTTCGTAAGGGGAGAGGGATCCAGGGGCAACGATGTAACTTAACTTATTAGGGTCCAGAGAAAAAGACGCGGGATTAATTGGCCATTCATACTGTCTGGTAGACCAACCAGTCAATACTCAAATACCCCATGGATCCTTCTTTACAAACCCAAAACACCAACCACAACAACACCACCAACAAGGATCACGAAACAGAAGGAAAAACTCTCTCTCTCTCTCTCTCTCTCCACGGCCGCCACCACCGGTAAGCAAGTAGGAATGAGCAAGCCGCCGCCGTGCGGTATCCAACAAGAAGCACCGCAGCCGCAGTTGCAGGCCATGTTGCAAGCCGCCGTCCAGTCGGTGCAATGGACTTACTGCATCTTCTGGCAATTCTGCCCCCACCAACGGTATCTGTATTCCCCTGCCGTGATATATTATTATTCTTAATTTATTTTCTCATATGATCAAACCTTACTATATTATTGTTGTTCAGGATATTGGTGTGGTGCGACGGGTACTACAACGGCGCGATAAAGACTCGGAAGACGGTGCAGCCGGTGGAAGTGACGGCGGAGGAAGCTTCTCTGCAACGGAGCCAGCAGCTCAAGGAGCTGTACGAGTCTCTGCTGTCGACGGGGGAGCAGGCAGCGGCGAAGAGGCCATGCGCGGCGTTGTCCCCTGAGGATTTGACGGAGACGGAGTGGTTCTATCTCATGTGCGTCTCCTTCTCCTTCCCTCCCGGCTACGGGTAAGTTCTTTATATTATTCCATTATACATACTTCCTTTCGATTTAATTGTTCTCAAAATATTAAATTATACACTTCCAGATCATCTATTCGATTATTATTTTGGGCTTTTTTGGAGTACTTGTGTGTGTTTCTCTTCGTTCTGCAAAATTGGCAGTAGAGTCGTGTCGTGCATGAGACTGAAAAATAGAATCAGACTTGGGGATGAAGAAGAAAGGAAAGGATATATATATATTTTTTCTTATAAGAAAATAATGTAAATTTTGGTGCAATAAATAATAATGATAAAAAAAAACTCCCTCAGAATTATCAACTATATAGTATATATATAGTTACTCGGTTAGTGATAATAAATTGTGATCCCATAAAAAAAAAGCAGCATGCATGCATATTCCCATTTAATTTGTCAAAAGGAGATATCAAATCATGACTTTTCAAACTAAAGTACTAGCAGTTTGTTCAACTTATTAACGACCACAGATAAATGAAATTAATTGTAAAAAGTAATTAAAAGTTGATTTTAATTAACTCAGGGGTCGTTTCAAGAATTGGATATTGGAATTCTAATAAATTCTAATAGTTCAACTCCCAATCCCTAAAATGTTGTAATTCTCAAAATTGCTTAAAATGGAGTAAAACAAGCTCATTGTTTGATAACTATGTGATTTTTTTATATATATAATGGAAAAATAATCCCAACAGATCAAGATATAAATAGAACCTCTCGTTTTAGGAGAGAGTTAATATTATCCCAACTAGTTAGATAATTGCAATATATAAACCAAGAACCTCATATGATAAAACTCATTAAAGACATATGATTTTACTCCGAATCTACGTACTACCCAAGTCTCATTACCCAATTAAACAATCAGAGAATGACAATGGGCAGACCGGATTGATATTTCGATATCCATATTTCTTTAGTGATAGTTTGGGACAGGTCGACCCATATTGGTATGTAATGTAAGTTAGAAACATTAGAAATATATGCAAAATTGAGATTCCCATTTATTTACAACGTTATTATAGTTAAAATGTTATATAAAAAATAAATTCTAAGTAATTTGAGTGAAATTACATGTAATTTAGGCAAGAACAGGTCGTAAATAGGGCGAGTCAGTCCAAAAGAATACACATGTCCGTCCCGCGTCGCCTATGAGGCGAATATTATCCCTCCAAAACTAATTAAACAAGTAGGATAAAGCGGATCAGATCTAAATTGACATTTCTGCCGTTAGTTACAAGATGGGAAACTGAGTTGGCGTAGAGAGGTAAATTTGCACTAGTTGGTTTTGTTCTTAAATGATTCGTAACTAGCTAGTGAGGGTGTTTAGATGGGATTAACTTATCCTTTATAGGCTATAAGAAAATAGAGTATGGGGCATGAAATTTGGTTTTTGACAAGGAAACTACAGAAAATCAGTACCAATAATGCAATTTTGCCAGAGAAGAAATTGGCCGAGCTATAAGCTAGCGTACTGCATGCAAAGTCTAAGCAAATGAAACCACAGAACTACAGAAGGCTACCCACCATCCCATGTACTCATGATTGCTTTGTTTGGTCGGACTCGGACCTAATGAAAGCCATGATAATTACACGCTAGCAAGAAACAGGCTGCGAATAGAAAGATAGAAATGTAACGTAAGGAAAGGCAAAACTTCACTTTGCAGGACCAACTTCCCTCATTTGGCACCTTCTGCCAGGACCATTTCTTACCACCACCACCACCACTTTTTCAGCTCTTTATCAAACTCTGTGTATCTACTTGCCCATACTTTATTTTATCCTCTTACATTTTGCTCACATAATAATATATGGTTATGTTTTTGGTGCATTCATTTTTTTGGTGCATTCAATGTACTCGCCTCATAATCGTCATTCCGAGCAGGTGATTCATGTGAAAACGATGTCAATCATCACTTGTGGTGTGATGAACAAGAACCACATGAATTTGTACAAAAATCATTCAAGATTCACTTTAATTTGAATGATTTTGAGCTTAGGAATTTAGGGTTAGGGTTAGGGTTTACAATTTGGGATTTTGGGTTGGGATTCAAAATCGAAAGTTAATAGGTTAGGGTAATGGATTGATTAGTTGTGATTTTGTGTTATATCATCATAATAGACTAATGTTATCCATTAAATTTCAAAATTTAATGTATTATGACCATTTTCAGAGTTGGGTGCATTCAGTGAGTGCACCAAAGTAGCCACCATATATATATATATATATATATATATCATCTTTAGCATCTGTCAATATCCATTCAATCATTTCTCACCCCTCAACGATATGAATAATAGAATAAGACACCACTGAATATTCACATTTTGTAAAATTTCTCCCACGGGAAAATTAGGCCAGATGGGCGTTTGACCTTTGAGGTGGCGAGAGAGAGCTAATTTGTGGCTGGCAGAAGGGACACAAACAAACTGTGGTGATGAGATAAAACTTGCAGAGGAGGGAAGCAATAATTAAATTGACTTGTCATCACGAGTCTCCCAGTTCGTCCCCAAATTGGGACGCATGCAGAGCATTAAATAAAATCGTTTTGCCCTCACACAGCCATGCACATGGGATTCTGATTGATTTACCACTGTTCAGTAATTGCAGAGCGAGATGGATCTATATATGGCCATCCTATGCGACAGTGAGACGACGACTGAGATAGATAGATATAGGGAGAAGCAAGCAAGTAATAGTCGGATTTGCGTTTGAAAAGAACTAGCTAGTGAAATTGAAAACACAAAAATTTCTTGCTCTTTTCCCCCTTAATTTGCATGGAGCTCGATCGATTTCTTTGCTCTTTAATAATGAAACAGTGCGAATGTGCGATCTGTATCTTTGTGTTGAATTTGCATTTGAAAGGGTTGGTTGGTTTAGTGACTGTGTAAGAAACGACATTTATGAAGGTTACCAGGAAAGGCATATGCAAAGCGGCAGCACGTATGGCTGAGTGGCGCAAATGAGGTCGACAGCAAAATTTATTCCAGAGCCATCCTTGCTAAGGTACCTAGCTACCTACTTAATTACTTGCGACACTGTTGGTTTGATTAAGACGCATTGTGAAATGACAGCACTAATTTAGGGCTTAATTAACCCTAAACCATATATACAAATTTTCAATAAAATATCCCAATGCCAAAACGCGGTACTGTGTTAACATTTAACTGCTACAAACGTCAATTGTGAATGGGAGCCGCTAGCTATGTAAAAGACGATTCTGACAATATATATAGAGAGAGCCAAAAAAGCAAGGTAGAATCCTGAACTTTTAGGGTTCATACAATTATTATATATAATAACTATGCTTTTCCATGTTTTGTCATCTCAAAGAGTTTGATATTTATTCACTCTTGTTTATCTACCTCAAAAGTCAAATTATAGTTCATTATCTTTAGATGTGAAATACTTTCATTAATCATTTCTAAACATTCTCCTGTTCATTCCCACTCAATTAGTTAGGCTTGTCAGGCTATGTATCTTACAGAAGCCACAATTACATACAAAAATGAATTGAAAAACTTAAAATGTACAAAAATCTTAACAAATTATGAAAGACATACTCAATATATTAATTAAGTATTAATGTTCAATCATCAAAACAAAGTAATAGCATATAAAAGCTTCTACTATAGCTCTATCGAGATAGGAAAAGCATAAATTTTTAGAAGTTGAGTTGAAATTTCGACTACATTGTTACATCCAATGAGAAAAAGGTGTGGAAATATGGTATTTTACTATAGTTGGCGTAGAAAAAGGTAATAGCATATAAACACCAAATACTCCTCCTTACGTGAAATTGGTGTTTGCTGCATCAATACCAACTAATGAGTCATAAGTTGGTCTAAAATTAATTGTGAAATTTAAGGATATAATACAAAAAATTTGATCTGAAACTCTAAAAAAATTATTTTGTTTTTCAGTTTTTTATTTCAAGTTATCTTTAATTTGTCAAAAAGTTATCAAAGCTCGTGTCATTTAAATTCATCAACCCAAACAAAAATTGAGTTGACTATTGATGATCCTTGGGTGGGTGCAAAAACATTTGTCTCACATATTAAAATTAAACATATTCATAAATAAATAAAAAAAATTCCACATCCAGAGCTTGTCATTTCCACGACACAAACTGACAATTCCAAAACTAGATCACTGCCACATTTTCTTCTCCTCTCCTGATCGATATTTGTCTTCAAGTAGCACTAGTGACAAACTTGATTTAATTACTATGCAACAAAAGGGAACACAGGCAAAGTTATTAACTATTACCCTTCGTCGTCGTTGTTAACGTGTCCAACTTCCACTCCACATGCATATTACTTGGCCGGCATTTACGCACATATACTCCTACTCTATTTCACATTTGCATACATCCTCCAAGATACTTCCATCCACCAAGTGTCTTTTCCTAATATTCAAAATCACGATTATACGTAGATATATTTTGGTGATCTAAAAGTACAAAATCGTAAGATTTTTAACCTTTACGCACATATATTCCTACTCTATGTCACATTTGCATGCATCTTCCAAGATACTTTCATCCACAATGTGTCGTTTCCCTAGCCATCAAAATCACGACTTTACGTAGAAATATTTTGGTGATCTAAAAGTATAAAATCGTAAGTTTTTAACTTTTCAATTGTAGATTTTGACTACACTTTGAAGAAAAATTCACAATTATATGCTACATGAAACCTTTTTGTTGACATAAAATTGTGAAAGAGTAAGCTTTTAATTAAATTCGAAAACGTAATTTTGACTATATTGATTGTAACATGACAATTTCCATATACCTATTTCATTGTTGCCACTTGTTTTTTTTTTTCACTTTGGAAGATTTTATTAATGTAAATCGTTAAAGATGTTGAGGTGATAAGAACCACATATATGAAACAAATATTCTATTTGGCTACATACAAATTACTCATAAGCTATAGATAACTAATCAACTCTTTTTTTGCTGTTTGGTCTCGTGGGGCTTATCCAAACCTGTCGCCTGGGCTGGATCGGTATCCAACTCTACCAGAGTGCTCGTATTCAGGTAAACAAAACATATGCTAAATATTTAACCCTAGCTAGCTATAGCTGCCTGGGTAGCTAATAACTCTCCTCTTTGTGGTCAACGTTAAAATATTTGACTTAATTAGCTAGGAAGCACATAAAAGGCATTTGGGCTGATTTATTTATTTATTTTCAGACAGTTGTTTGCATTCCTCTCCTTGATGGTGTCCTAGAACTCGGCACTACTGTTAAGGTACGTACTATTACTAACCACTGTTAGATAGTGGAATGGCCGTTCAATAATTATTAGGGTTAATATTTTTGTATGGCCTGAACTTTGACCAAAATAAACATCTTGGCCAATCTTTACGATCTATAACATCCTGGCCCGAACTATACACCAAAATAAACAATTTGGTCAAACCTGATGTTTGACCGTTAACTTGGACGGTCAAACGCGTTGACCGTTAGTCAACACGCCATGTCACTGCCAAGTCAGCATAAAATATTTAAAATAATTCACCATTTCCACACATTTCCTAATTTTAAATTATTATAAATTAAAAAAGAATCATCTAATACCTTAGTTAAACCAAAAATAAAAACGAAAAAAATTAAATATTTATCTGATCTTCTGACTTGACAGTGACGTGGCGCGTTGACCGTTAGTCAACGCGTTTGACCGTCCAAGTTAACGGTCAAACATCGGGTTTAGCCAAATTGTTTATTTTGGTGTATAGTTCGGGCCAGGATGTTATAGATCGAAAAGATTGGCCAGGATGTTTATTTTGGTCAAAGTTCAGGCCATACGAAAATATTAACCCTAATTATTATTTATATAAAATGTCATCACCAGCTTCTGACGGTGCAGAATGTGAAATGGTCTAATAACCCTGAAATGTATTAGGATGGTTTGATGTCAATGGTTGTTAATATAATGACCCGATTGCATGCGCTAATTGAGGTCTCAGACTCACAGTTGATATATCTTGAAAAAAATTCACTATATAGTTCAAAAATTTATATATTTACGAAATTGTACTTCTTTAACTACCTTCAATACAAGGTGCACCATTGTTGCTTGTAAGTGGTAGACTGGTAGATATTGTATTTGTAGACAATGATAGTGAATCGTAAATAATATATTTAATATATTTATTTTTATCATATCATATATGTACTGTTTACGTAAATAATTAAACTGATGGTAATAATAATAATATTATCAATGTAATATTGTGCAGTTACAGGAGGATGCTGGATTAATCGAGCACGTGAAAGGCTTCTTCACGGACCAAAATTACCAGCATAACCCTGCCCCAAAGCCAGCCCTCTCCGGCCACTCAACTTCCGATCCCGTGCCTTCTTCCGACCATCCCTCCTCCGCCTTCCGCTCCCCTCTCTTCCCATCCACCGTCTTCTCCCCCGCCGATGACCACACTCCTGCCCATGACGACGATGAAGAGGCTGACGACCTCGAAATCGACGATGACGACCACGACGAGGACGACGAAGAGCAACTAGAAGATGATCGTGACAACTCGGACGCAGAAGCAGAGGCAGAGCCTCCGGCAGCTGGCTCCCAGCCGATCGAGCTGATGCAGCTGGACATGTCGGAGGATATCCGGCTCGGCTCACCCGACGACGGCGGCTCCAACCAGCTCGACTCCAACTTCAACTTGATCGGCTCCCAGCGGTGGAGAACCCTAATGATGGAAGCCGACTGTTGCGGCGGCGTCAACTTCCAGCCGCCGCAGCCGATGGATCAAGAGCTCTCCCAGGAGGACACGCATTACTCCCAGACCGTATCCGCCGTCCTCCAGAACCACCACCGGCTCGATCGGTCCGGAGGATGGCCCACCACCACCACATCCTCCACCACCGCTTGCTCCCCGCCCCAGTCCGCTTTCGCCACGTGGACGAACTACGTGGCAGTAGCTGACCATCCAGAATTGGGAACGACGACGACGTCGCAGTGGGCCCTCAAGTACATGCTGTTCAACGTGCCTTACCTCCACGCCAAGCACCACCGCGAGGAAGAGAAGGACTCCCCGAAATCCGGCGCGGGCCGGGTGAGGGACGAGCTGAGCGCGAACCACGTGATGGCGGAGCGGCGGCGGCGGGAGAAGCTCAACGAGAGGTTCATCGTCCTCCGGTCGCTCGTCCCCTTCGTCACCAAGATGGACAAGGCGTCTATCTTGGGGGACACGATTGAGTACCTGAAGCAGCTAAGGAGCAAGATTCAGGAACTCGAGGCAAGGAACCGCCAGCTGGCAGAGCCACAGCGAATTACAAGATCGGAGATGAAGAAGAAGGGTAGGGGGGCGGCGGCAGCGGCGGCGGCGAGCGTGGAGGTGTCGATCATAGAGAGGGACGCTCTGTTGGAGCTGCAGTGCGAGCACAGGGAAGGGCTGCTGCTCGACATGATGCAGAAGCTGAGGGAGATGAGGATCGAGGTCACGGCGGTTCAGTCTTCTCTCAGCAGCAATGGTGTTTTCGTTGCGGAGCTGAGAGCCAAGGTGAAGGACAATGCCGTGAGGAAGAAGGTAAGCATTGTGGAGGTGAAGAGAGCCATTCATGAAATAATACCCTAGCTCCTCCTGACAAGATGAACGAACAAGAAACTACTGAACAATAACGTACGTGGACTCTGAACCCGCGCTGTTGAATATATGTATCACAGTTATAGCATACAACAACAGAAGAAGAAGAAAAAAAAAACGCAATTGACAGTCAAAATTTGTGGAGTTGCAAAGAAAGTTTCTAGCGTACAAGAATATTTACATTGAATAATTTGATAACGCGGTAGATCGAACATAACACAAGATTTTTTTGGAAAAAAAAAACATAACCACAAGATTTTACATGGTATTCTCGATCGATTGATTGATCGAGATTAATCAACAGTAAGTTTGAAAGAGCTAACGACTAATGTTTTATTAGAGGATTACATTGTGACGGTTTACTTATGACAGAACCATACCTAAGTTTTTATAGAGAAAGATCTAGGGTTAATACCCTAATGAGAAGAGTCAACTACGGCCAAATATCTATACCTACCACGAATAGGACAAGGCCCAACGAGGCCCATGACTCACACGGTTTAATTAACCGCAACACTCCCGCTCAAGCGAAAACACGAATGACAAGAATGTCAAGCTTGAAGAATGAAATGTAAAGAACAAACATGATGGCTTGAACAACAAAACTCAAGATGAATAACATCTCAGACGAGGTTGATTGGAGACGATGACTCTCTCTCTCTGAAAAACCAAATGATGGAGACAGTTGATTCGGGCATAATTGCACATATTTTATCGCCGTTTCCCGTGGGCATTTGAACTTGATAGACCATTAATTGCACATGTTTATACCTCCATTCTTGAGCTATTTGAGAGTCGATTCTCGTGTTTTAAACCGTTGTGTGTTTATGTCATATTTCAGGACTTGACGTTGATGTGAAGGCGAGGAAACGAGTTTCGGGTCAAAAGGAAGACACTGGAGTGAAGGGCGCTGGAAGAGGAAAATACCCGGCCGGGTAAATTGCTAAGGGAGGCCGGGGATTCCCGTTTTTGACGCCAAGAAGGCAGGAGGGGTCCCGGCCATATTCTGGACCACGACCGGGTATTAATCCCCTATGCGATGCTGTGCGTTTTGAAATCCCCGACCAGACACCTGAAATACCCGACCAGGTAGTATGGCCGGGGATCGTGATCTATTGATTCTTAAGAGAAAGAAGGCCAAAGTTTGAAGGGTTCCGAGTTTTAGAGAGAAAAAGCTGATACCTAGAGAGAGAGTGTGTGTGTGACAAACCTGATTCTCCAAGTGCCCTAGATCGATCTTATCACCATTGGAGCCCGACTTGAGCTTGGAGGAGTACCGATTGATTGCCAGAAGCAGAATCCCATCCTTCACAGTATGGTTTCCGCATCTGAGCTAGATTTCCCTTCTCTCTCTATGGAATAAACTTTCTCATTCACCTGGGTATGAAGAACTCTAGATTTGTATGTTAGGTCTGATTGTATGAACCCAAGTACGAATTCAGTGGTATGATTATATTCAATTGAGGTTTGATTTCTTAAATGGCATGAATCCTAATCAAATTCCAGTTATTTTTGCTTTGACCTAGAAAGAGAATATCTGCCTAGGTTTATAGAGCACCCTTGATTGAAGGTAGTGAATTGACAACTTTAGTCGAGGAGTCAATTCACTATTCTGTACCGGAATTACTTCGGTAGAGGAGATTTCGTTCGTTAGGGCCTCAATCTGTCGACTCCGGTGGAGGTTAGTCGCCCGCTGGGGACTCAGATTGAGAGGGTCTGGAGTCCTTTAGTCGAGACTGCAGACTGTTTAAGAACCTCCCACAGTATAACTATCTTTGAACTTGAACTTGGTGAATTACAAGCTGACTTAACTGCAGTCTAGGGGGAACCATATCTGGGTGACCTCTCTCAACCTTGAACACAACTTCTACTGTTTTTGCCTGCTAGTTTAACTAAACCTTCACTACACTTGAACCGCTAAATAATAAGATTTTCACAGAGTAGTCATCACACCTAGGACCCGGGTTAACATTTAAAAGTAAACCCGCTATACTACGCATTAGTAGGTGGTTACACTTGGCCACTTTCTAGTGTGACGGTAGAGGCATGTCAAGTTTTTGGCGCCGTTGCCGGGGATGGCTAGGTTGTTGAAGAAACGTGATTTCTGTTACTTTAGCATTTCTTTTCCGCATTGTCTGTTTGATTTTTCCAGCTTGTGCCTTCACGGGTTTGCTTGGTTGGCTGTGTGCAGGTAGTGCATGACCCGTAGCCAGTCGGGAGGTTTACTACCGTTAGATCCGGAGCTAGAACGCACTTGTCACCATCTGAGGAGAGAACAACAAGCGAGACTGGCTACGGAGGAAGTGCACGTCGACGGCCATCTGAGTAGAGACTCCGAGGAGGAATACGAGATGGGCGACGAGCACAACAGGGGGAACTTGAACTTGAGGCAGAATCAACCCCTCTGGATGCCCATGCAGGTTCCCCCAGTGAATCAGGTCTTGGAGAACAACCTAGTTCCCCAGGAAGATGGGGCTCAGTATTCACCGCCGCCGCCGGGTCCTACTATGGAGTACTACTACACTCCACGAGTCGCCGACATCCGCCCCGTCATCCTGTATCTACCCATTCCAGCAAACAACTTTGAGATCAAGCCATACTGGATTCAACTGATTACATCCTCAATCCAGTTCCATGGTTTGAGTGATGAGGAGGCGAGGGTGCACCTTTCCCGGTTCCTACAGCTGACAAATGGTTTCAAAATGAATGGTGTACCCGATGATGCGATGAGGCATGCGAAGAGGTGGTTAGAGACCCAGCCCCCACTATCCATCACGTCGTGGGACGACTTGGCCGAAAAATTCGTGCACGTGTACTATCCAGCCTCGAAGACCACGGAGATTCAGCGGGAGATCACTCATTTACGCTAGAAGCCAGATGAGTCACTTCCTGATTCTTGGGAAGGGTACTCGGGATTTTTCTGGCAATGTCCTCATCACGGGTTGAGTGATGCATTCACAGTGGCGAATTTCTACAACGCTCTGACCCAGAAAGCCAGAGGGTGATCGAGTCTCTATGCCCAGGAGGGGACATTTTCACCAAGACTCCACCCGAGCTGAATCAAATGATCAGTACTCTGGCTGCCAGGGATCACTCTTGGGGGCAGATCACCAGAAGCAGGAGTTCTCGGGACCGAAGTGTGCATGCCATGGAAGCTAGGTCCGGGCTAGAGCGGGAGGTGGCTGAGTTGGTCCAGACATTGAAGCAGCCCAACAGTCTTATTCTGGCCGGACCTTCAGTTGCAAAATGTCAGTGGTGTGATATTTCGAACCATCTGGTGGAAGACTGCCAGGCTATACGGGAGTCCTCTACACCCCAGGAGCAGTTGGACTTCATCGCCAATGCTTGGAACCTTGATCCTTATAGTGGAACATATAATGAAGGTTGGCGCCAGCATCCCAAATTCTCCTGGAATAATAACAAAACCACTAAACCACCTGGCTTCCCAACACCAGCAGATGGTTTTCACTAGAGGCAGCCCTTCCAGGACAAGCAGGGTCCATTTCCACAATAGCAGCCTTACCACCCCAAACAGGGGCAACCATTTGAGCAGTCGCAGCGCTAGTATGCTAAGCCACCAGCAGCTTCATCCCCAGATAATCAGGTAAGCGAGCTTAAAAACATTCTCGCGGCATTCATGACTACCAGCCAGGCAAATTTTGCTAGGATGGACCAGAGCATTGCCTCACTTGAGGCAGGTCAGAGGAACCAAGGTGCCATATTGCAGGACCTCCAAATTAGATTGGAGGAATAGCTCGCCAGAACATTACCAGGGCACCGGGAACTCTACCTGGCACCACCGTCCCCAATCCGCGTGAGCATCACCAGCAGCTGAATGCCATCACTAACAGGAGTGGCAAGCCAACATCGGTTGTATCTGCCCCGACCAGGCAGGAGGAGCCACTACCTGCTTCAACACTTACAGTCGACGATGAAGAAGTGAGGATGGAGAAGGAAGCACCTGCCCCAAGCCACAGCTAGTGGTTAAGGAGAATATTCCCCAGCTTCCCTTCCCCACTCAACTACACAAGGACAAGCTGGAGACTGAGTTTGCCAAATTCATGGCAATGCTGAAGCAGGTCAACATCAGTCTGCCGTTTGTGGAGGCATTATCGAAGATGCCCAAGTACGCAAAATTCATGAAGGATCTCTTTACCAACAGAGAGCGACTTAGGGATCTATCGACAATGATGCTGAGCGAGGAGTGCTCGGCCATTCTGTAGAGCAAGCAGCCAGAAAAGCAGAAGAACCCAGGTAATTTTACTATCCCGTGCTCCATTGGCAAACTACATGTAGAGAGGTCCCTGGAAGATCTAGGTGCTAGTATCAATGTTATCCCATACAAATTGTTCAAAAAAACTAGGCCTAGGTGAACCCATCGCTACTAGGATGAGTATTCAATTAGCTGACCAATTTGTGGTTCGTCCTAGGGGTATAGTGGAAGACCTCCTGTTAAGGTTGGCAGATTTTGTTATCCTGTGGATTTTGTTGTCTTAGACATCAATGAAGACAAAGAAGTGCTCCTTATTCTAGGAAGGCCCTTCCTGGCCACCGTTAGGGCCCTCATAGATGTCCTTGATGGGACTTTGGTCTTGAGAGATGGCGAGGAGCAGATAACTTTCTCTATCACTAATAATATGCCTTCTGCCTCGCCTGTGCATGCTAGTTCTCACCAGTTGCATGAGCCTGTCGTGTATCGTTCTGTGCCTCTCTTTTTGTAGGATCCCCCTCTCAATCCTTCGCCGCCACTCCCTTCGGCCTCACTACCAAACAAAACGATCAAGGAGGAGTGGCGGCCGAAGTCGCAGGCAGCTAAGCCTGCTCGGAAGAAAGGTGGCGACCACTATGAGCTGGTCCCACCTCCTGAACCACGACCACCCTGGCCATCCGAGTAATCACTTCCTTGCATCCTGCTGAATGGCCAGGTCGAGCTGACAAATGTTGGTGGTCATATGACACGCTAAAGCACAACACCAAACTGCGACCAAGTG